AAGGAAAAATCCCCCCCCGGGGGGGTGGCCACGCCGCAATCCCTTCTCCATTCTCCTCTCGGGATCTTGGACACACATGCACCCACACCCGGTGTGAGTTTTAAGCCACCAGCTCCAGGACTTGAACCACAGTCAACTATGAGGGAGTCCAGTGATGTAACCATTATGCCATCTGCTGGTCCCTCTTTTTAGGGAGAGAGAGACTTTTGCTATAGGGTGTGTGCACTTGCCAGAGAGACAGAAAGTGAGAAATCACCCCACAGAGGGGATGGCCACTCTGCAATCACTTCTCCTCCATTCTCTTCTTAGGATTTAGAGCATGCACCAGCAGTTGGCGTAATGGCTATGATGCTAGACAACCATATAGTCAGCCACAATTCAAGTCCCGGACCGGTGGCTTAAACTCATGCCCTATGCATGTGCAGGTGTGCCCAAGATCCCAAGAGGAGAATGGAGGAGAAGAGATTGCGGTGTAGCTATCTCCCCTGAGGAGTAATTTCTCACTTTCTGTCTCTCCGTCTCTCTGTCTTTCTGGTGAACTTACGTGCCCTATAGTAAAACCTCTCCGAAAAAAAGAAAAAAAATAATGTGGGGCATGCATGCACATATGCTTGGCATGAGTTTCAAGACTCCAGGTCCGGGACTAGAACTATGGCCAGCCATGTGGGAGTCCAGCCACGTAACCATTATGCCACCTGCTGGTCCCTCCTTTTATTTAATTTAAATCTCAATGGCCACATGTAAACAGTGGCTAGCATGTTGGTCACTACTGTTCTAGGCGCCTAGGCACTCTCTCCCTCTCTCACCCCCCACAATCTGTCAGTCAGCAAATCCTATGGTCTCTAACTTCCAAAAAGAACCATCTACCACCTGGGTCCCAGGCACCATCACCTCCACTTGAGTTATTACAATCGAATTACAGTCACTGCCATCTCCTGCTTGCACCTCTGCTGCCATTCTCAAGTCGGCAGTAAGAATAAGCCTATTAAATGGGACCAGTAGCTGGCATAATGGCTATGTTGCTGGACTCCCATGTAGAGTCGACCATAGTTCGAGTCCCAGACCTGGTGGCTTAAGTTCATGCTGGACATGTATATGTGTGTTTCCAAGATCACGAGAGGAGAATGGAGGAGAAGGGATTGT